GGCCCCTGAAGCTACGGCCGACGCGGCGGCGGATGATCCGGCAGCAGCAGAACTGGCGGCGGCGGAACCAGTGCCCGCAATGGGTTGACCCTGGTCATTGAGGGCGGTTATCGCAGCAAAGTTCGTCGTGATGCCGAAGACAGCGTTGAAGGCGTCAGCCTGTGCACCGGTAGGTGCAGGCTCGGTGTCGGCGGCGGCCTTGGCCGTTGCACAAGTGGCCTGGGCAGTAGCGTCGGCACCGCAGGTGTTCACGAGATTGTCGCACATGAACTGGGTGATGATGTCGATGTTGTCAGCAGAGCCATGGTTGTAATCAGCTGCAAAGGTCTCGTCAACGGATGTAAATATCATACGACTAGCTGAGGACGTACCCTGGTTTGTAGGTTCGAAGCTAGTTTCCTTCCTGTTGTCGAATCCTACGCCAAACGTAATCTCGGGGATCGTGCAGCTCCCGAAGTTACCGATGCTGGCAGCTGAGGCGGTCGATGTGGCAGCCGCTGCAGATGAAGATAAGGTGGCAGAAGCGGCGTCGGTAGCAGCGGCGGATGCAGAGCCATCAGCAGTGACAGTGACAGTGACCTGGACGTAGATGTTAGACCCGATATATGCATGCGAGTGTAGTGCATTGAGCTCACAGCGCAGGGATCGGCAGAAATGCTTCTAGCAACTTGAACAACTAAGTTTCCCGCGGAAGACGAAGCAGCAGATGCGACCGTGGACGAGGACACACTGCAATAGAATTAGTATAGTAGGAATAGCTCTTACACGCCTTGTGGTCGAGACTTACGAGGTAGAGTTTGAAGAACCTGCAGTGCCGAAGGGGAACGTGTTTGGCTGAGAACCCTTGGCAACGGATTGGTTAAGACCAGGGTCAAAGAAGACATTGGGGCTGTTGGCAGGGTCCTGAGCCTGCACCAAGCCGTTCAACTCGGCATTCTTGGGCGCTGTCTGACAGAAGACAGAATTCTGGTTGGTTGGCGGGTTTGTGGAGAGGTCCTACGACAAATGCTGAGCCTATGATGTGAGAGGAAATAAAACCGACATACAGGAGGAGTGTTCTTCTCCACTTGCCGGTATTGCTGCGCCAAGGCGATCATGTTTGCTTTGGTATTAGCATCGAATTGCTGGGCAGCATCTGCGAATTTTGGTAAGGTCCAGCGCATCATGATCGGACCAAGGGACACGTACCGATAATGGCGTCGGCCATATCTTGCTGGCTGCACTCGGGCTGCGAAGCGAGCAGAGGAGTGACGGCCTGTGCAGCGAGGGTGCTGCAAACCTGTCCAGAGCAGGCAGAGGCAAGCTGGTCGAGAACGGTTGGGTGTGCTTGGCCGTATCGACGAGGGTAGAGTTCAAGGGCACGTCCATCCCTCTCCAGCCACTGCATCCGGCCGTAAGATATGTCGGAGAGCGAGAGCAAGCTCAAAGCAACGAGGGTCAACTGCGACTTAGAGAACATCTCGATAGGTCTCGGTAGGTAAAAGTCAGATGATCGAAAGGAAAGGAGATCCTGGCTCCCGAGGAAATGATAACAGGGAACGGTACTGAAAGAATGTAGAGCAGTAACTGACACCTGGTCGAGAATGAGGCAAAGAAGCGGCCGCTCAACGAACCAGCACAAATCTGAGAAGGAAGGAAGGACAACAGCGAGGTGTTACTTTTTCCAGGCCCCGCACCTTACTCTTTTATACCCGTCCTCAGACAACGAGCCGATTTCGGCCGTTCCTGAACATCTCATGCGCATCGGGTCCCCTCTCGACCTTCGATGGACTCGGAGAGCAGGTTTCTCTGTATTGCTACCAAACCTTCGTCGCCGTCCATCGGGCTTTCCAGAATGCCCGAAAAGGCAACTAAGAACGAAACGTAGAGCGAACGAGCGCATCGTGGCGGCAGACGTTGCCTAGGAACGACGGCATGGCTTAGCGACGGGCCGGGAACAAAGGTTTTCACTCCGGCAGTAGGATCCTACTGCCAATCGGATGCACAAGGCACGGAATAATCATCGTTGGGTTCACGGAGAGCTACAATCTGTAGCAGCTGCTGTAGATCAGATACCAGGTTTCGGAGAAAGCTCACTAATTCATCATTACGCTTCGACTGATCTTGATAACGAGGGCGGACGGGGGCAAAGAAAGCCACAAATTCGCGCCATGATACCCTCGAGAGGAATGGAGGAATCTCTGACCATGCCTCTCACGTCTGTAAAGGAGCAGTCACCGCCGGCTTCTCACTCACTTGCGGTGACAATAAGACAGCTAGCTGCTTGCGGATACACTTGGTGACAGGGTCATGATGCAGGTCCGAGCCGGAGCCAATCTTGAGAGAGGTTGCCCGCGAACAAGGTTGTCAGTGAAACCATTTGGGTCGTCCCACGTTAATTATACACACCTCGCCGAAGAGCGCGTCTGCAGCAGTTCCAGGCACGTATGCAACAAGCTGCGGTCACTTCGGTCGCCATGCAGGCAAGCAGTGCCTGCTCTCACACTGCCGCCGCGCGAGTAGGGAGCAGAACACAGTCGGTGGCAATCAAGCGTGGCTGTCTCGCCCACGAGAAAGCGCATTTTTAGTTGCCATCGAATAGTATTTCGAATAATGCAGCACGTATCGCTCGGTCAAACGCATGAGCTATGTGATTCTTGACTAGATTCATTCCTGCGCCGGAGTGAGAAACGACAGCCGCTGAAGCTAGTATAACTATAACTGACTTACCTCCATCGCGAGCAGTCTGGATGATCTGGATGAACATCTAGACCAGATTCCAGATTGTCGCAGACCGACACTGAAACGCGCCGGACTGATAAGCTGTAGCTTTTGCATTCAGATGTATCAACGCCGATAATTCTTTATCTGGGCTGATGCGTTCAGAGCGAGTTCATGGAGTGTGACCAGACAAAAGTCTGTAACTGAATGACAAGCACGACGATTGAGAAAAAGCGAGATGAATTGCTCATAGTAATAGCCGACAACCGTCCATCTATGACAATCTTCTTTGAAGCGCAAAAACTCCTTAACCCGAATTTAATGACCGTGGGCCTTCTGAGCCTTCAGAAGCTCCAGGTCACCATGGAAGTCGAGCTCGTAGACTTGGAAGGGAGATATGTAAGAATAAGGGTACGATTGGTATTAACTACGACTTACCGGAGCCGCACTCTGGGCACCGAGGGTGCTCACCTATCTTGAGGTTCATCCAATGAAGCTCGTGCGACTCGGCAGGAGAGCCCGTGCAGCCAATGAGACGATCAGAATCCTACAAACCAAACAGGGCGGTAAATACGACGATTATTCCTATGACGCGTAAAGGTGAAAGAAGCGTGTGGTACGGACCCAGGAGAGGACCTTGATGGGGTCCTTCTTGGTGCCAATACGGCTAGAGTCAAGAGGGTCGTAGTCGAAGACCTTGACACCGTGCATCTCTCCCAGAACTTGGAGGCGCTCGAGACCGGTAGAGTGGAGGTCGTCGGTGGGCACCGTGCCGGCGGGAGCACCAGGAGGGAAAAGGGCTGCGTCGATTTCCTTGTGTTCGGAGGCGCGAAGAGTAGAGACAGCGAAGGTGCGCGCCGCGGGCTTGGCGACGCGTGCTACGGAAGCGGCGGGGCGAAGGGCGGCACGGAGCATTTTTTAAGATAGCGTTGACGAGCAGAACGATGTTGCGGACGTTGCGGACAACGAGGTCGAGGGTAAGCGTGATGGGTGACAAGCGCGTCACAGATGCCGTCCGCTATCTCCCGAGGCGCGCTGTTGCCGCTAGCGGCACGATGGCGCTTATGCGAGCATACTTCTGAACGGGCGCTAGCTAGGAAAGGCAAGAAAGATGGGATGTCTAGCGGGTAAACCAAGCGCTGAACACCAAAGTTCTTCGCCTTCTAAACATATCTAAACATGCCGTCGGGTAAGTCGACCTTCGCGCGCAACTCCACCACCACGGTCCTTACGGCTAACCACCACCTTCTACCCTGGCGGTAGGACGATCCCAGGTGCAGCACCGCACCACAAGACACGACCATGAACTCGTCTTCGACAGTCGAGGCACTTGTACGCGATTCTCAAGAGGCCGGCCGCTCTCAGTCGTATGCTATGAAGGAGACCTCTCTACGGCCAACGCACACCCTCACACCATCCCAGAGCTCAACAGTGACCTGCACGTCCACCGTCAACCTTGTGGAGAAGCCAGGTCGCCAGGGCACTTCGCGACGAACAGTAGGGTGGTCGTGTCTTAAGCGAAAGCGGAAGGCAAGTGATGCGGAGAGCGACGAGGGTGGACTGCCCCTGCATGCAAAGGAGAAGGAGAAAGAGCCGCTGTTCATGGGCTGGAAGCTGATTTTCTTGGGCTCATGTTCGTGCCATGTCCTTTTTCTGTTCGTCGCCGCTGACAGCCATCCTCGCCTGGAACAGGGCTGAATGTGCTCATCCTGCTCATTCCTGCCACTGTGAGTGCACACGAACATTCGTATCCTTGCTCCGAGTCTGACACCCTTGCAGTGGGTCCTGCGCATCGCAGCTCCCGAGTCCCACTCCCTCATCTTCGGCTGTAAGCGTCGGGTCGCCATTCGCGGATTTATGTTCTTAATTTACCTCCGCAGCATGCATCGTAGCGATGGTACCCCTCGTCAAGGTTGGTCCTCGCTTCCATCTAGGCGAACGCAACGCTCATTGGCCGGTTAGATGCACGACATGTCAATCAGGGAACTGTCCGTTCGGCTCGGAGGCACCAAAACAGGCTTGCTGAACGCTAGTATGGTAAGTGCGTGCTATTATTGGCCCATTCCGCTTCTCATTGGAATCTTAGGCCAATATGTACGTCTGCAATTTCCGTTCATTCTTGTCCCTATTGACCTGTACGTTCTTCTAGAGTCGAAATGGTTGTCGCGGTGAGTTGTTTGTTTATGCGCGTGAGCATGGTGTTAATATATGGACAGTTCATTGCTCTGCGAAAGTGCGAGTTGCGCGTCGTCCAGTCGTCTCGTACGTCGTGCAGACCCACAGCCTTAGTTTATCGTGCTGACCTCTTGTAGTCATTGGGGCGATGTTAAGTAAGCTATGTGAGTCCGACATTTATATGTGCTAAAGCGATGATGCTGACAGCTGCTACAGTGCTGATCCTGGGGATGTGTTTCTTCGCTGGAGGGATGCGTTTCACCCAACAGGACTTCGATGCTAGTGAGTTCAGCATTTTCCTGAGTCATATTGCTCTTCTCACGGCGCTCGTTTCCAGCCGCGACGCAAGTACATTCCTCCTTGCTGAGTTTGAGCGTCGGGGCGGTGCTGCTTCCTGCTGCGTTTCACTTCACACTCAGTGACCGATCGCCAGGCGAAAGCGTCAAAGCCTCGATTGAAGAGCAGAAGCAAGACATTCTGCGCATGAGCCATGGGGTGAGTAAGAGATTGCAACCCTTTCCAGCTGCCATGCTTATACCTCGCGTAGGTGTCAATAATCCTCATCATCAGTGCGTAGTAGAGTTTGTTAGGCATCTCGTGGATACTAACGCTCTATAGTTTACATCTCGTACATGCTCTTCCAGTTCTGGTCTCATTCACATCATTTCACGGACACTCAGGCACCCAGCAATAAGCTCCCCAATGCCATCTCTGTACGCTCTATGGCTTCTCGTGTTCGCCCTCCTAGTCCAGTGCTGCGCAGATTAATGAGCCCGACACCAACGCTTACCAACGTACTCGGCAAGACCCCGCGGTCACAGAGCCCCATGCCCCCTCGGGCACCATTCATGTATCAGCCGACTGCGACGTCGCCCTCTTCGAGTAGTGGCATTCTGAAGGCGTCACCATACCCATCGCAATCGACCGTGAATGTGAATGCCGCGTCGTCCACCGTGCGCCTTGTACCTGAATCCGAGAGAGCACCCTCATCTCCAGGCTCACCAGTCTCAGAGATCGGTGACTCGGTGAAAGACAGCCCGCAGCCAAGCCCGGGCCCGTTCCTAGGTCTCGAAGGGCGGTCGCCAGGAGAGCGCGCATCACTAATTAGCGAGCTGTTGTCGTCGTACTATGGGGATTTGGAGACGCTCGGATATGCGGAGCAACAAAAGGGCAAGAAAGAGGAGCGCCTCGAACGAAAACCCCAGCTGAGCTGGCTCTTGACAATGATCTTGCTACTTGTAGTCACGGTGGTATGTTCTACAGTGAAATGACTCACATCCCACATCTAACTTGTTGTGTAGCTGGTCGCAATCGACGCGGAATGGATGATTGACTCAATCGACAACATTTCGCCAACCATCAGTAAGGAGTGGATCGCTCTCATTCTGCTGCCTGCAGTTGGTTCGCTGGCGGAGTGCATCACGGCTACCAGCGCGTCTGCTAAGGATCGCCTTAGCTTGAGTATCAGTGTCGCTGTTGGCTCTACTATTGTACGTGCTTGCACCTGCACCTTTTTGCGTTCTCTCTGACGGACAGTCGCCTAGCAAACCGCACTATTTGTCATCCCGTATGTGATGCCCTACCCTTTTCGCAAACATTCTTAATGATTTCTTACAGGCTCATGGTCCTCTTGGGCTGGGTCCTGGGCAAGCCTTTGGCCCTACTGTTTGACCCTTTCGAGTCAATTGTATTGTACATCTCGGGTATGTTCTGCTCGGATCTAACGTTGGCCGGCGTGTTGATTTTGCGCAGTAAACACAATGGGGTATGTCGTCGCTGACGGCAAGTCTAACTGGCTCGAAGGGATCATTCTGATCGGTCTGTACGTTGTCGCGGCTGTGACCTTCTGGTTCTACCCAGGTGCGCCAAAATAGCGTCTCTTGTCATAACAGCTACTAATGTTCTCCGAAAAGGATCGAACTTTTCCGCTAGCCTCGCTGTATGTTCCACCTCGTAATAGTAATTGGGCTCATACGTCATATCTTTCCGTTTACGCCTTCATTCTAATTCCTAGATTCCCTCATTCCTTTACTCCCATTCTCACTCATCCAATCGTTTTATAGAACCACACAACATGATACATGGACTGTAGACCACCGAGTGGACACATTTTACTCCTATGCGCGTAATCATACCCTTCCTCATCCCATTTACATGTAGTCAAGGGTATCATCGAACATTAATTTACTTCACGCTCCTTTGTATAGACTAGAGTGTACTTCTAGTAGAATGTATATAGACGGACACCATTAGGGACTTTTCACTCGATTGCCCATGCGTGCGACTTGGGACACTGCCCGAGGCGTGCACTCAGACGCGGGTTCGGCAACGGATGCCGAACCGCTTTCGCGTCCCTGTAAACTTAACTCTGCTCATTCGGAATGGCCGTCTCAACCCACATCCTTCAAGATATCATAGCACGCGTTGCACACTTAAAAAGAGGTAAGCTTACAGGCTAACTCGAGAGCCGTATTGCTCAGTTACTGTACAGCTTTCGGATGAACGTCTTCAGTTGTAGCCTTCATCCACTCCGTCCGATTCCTCTAGGGCTCGTTCAGTCGCCATGTCGCGTTTTTCTGACGTCTAGAGTGTCGGTAGCGCGTCGAACGTTTGCTACGGATTCTCCTCAGGAAAAGCCCCCAAAGCCCAAGGCTTCGACACCGCTCCGTCGAGCAGCGTCCGCGTCCCTGCCAATCCGTTCCAACCCGACGCCGACGCGCAGCTCAATCCAGCCCGTGTTCACCCTGACGACAGCAGAGCGTTATGCACTTGGCCGGCTGCCTGCGTACCTCCCTCCGAACGCACGGTCGCTGCACGATGCGTGGTGGGTGCCAAAGTGGGGCACAGACGAGAAGGAGGGAGAGATCTTCGTGTTTGGGAATGGTAGCATCGTGTGCTGGGGCCTTGGAGAGACGGAAGCAGAACGGTTTGCGCGAAACGTGGTTGCGAGGGCGAAGGCAGAGATTGGGTCATTGAGGGAGCCAGAGACGGAGGACTTGGAGTTCGTCACGGATCCTTCGGAGTGCGCTGTCCTTTACAAGTGGCATGGGTGGTGATAACTGACGCATAGACAGGAAGACTCGTCTGCAAGGTGATCTAATCATCCTTGGTCAGACTCCAACGCCAGAGTCCGAAGACACCATGCCCGTAGACCTCCCGCCGTCCGCCTTGCCACAAGAGACACTCTTAGCCCGATACTCTTATTCTCAAGCTCTCGCTCGGTCTACTGCACTTTCGGCTCTTGAAGTCTCTTTGGAAGTCTACCTGTCGTCGATGGCGCAGCTTCCGGATTCGCTCATCCGCACTGGTCGACCTGGGCTTGGACGCATTGCCCTGGTCAAGAAGCTCGGCGAGCTGCTGAAGTTTAGACAAGGTTTGAACCTCAACAGCGAGAACTTCTACGATACACCAGACCTCTATTGGGCCGAGCCAGTGCTTGAAGGTACGCTCTGATTTTGTGATCCTTACGGCCCTTTCATCGAATATATGCGCAGGATATTTCAACGCACTTAGCAATGCACTTGAGATGAGGGCACGAATTCGATCTGTGAACGACAAGATCACCTATGCTGCAGAGGTGAGCCTATTTGCTCGGCAATTGCTACATTTTTCTAAGACCTGTACAGATGCAATCAGTCCTCCGCCAATTGCTGACTGAGGTAGGTTTCTCATCCTTCGCTCTAGTCAATTCGCTCACAGTCATATCCCCAGACCTCGGGACATCGTATGGAGCTCATCATTATTCTCTTAATCGCTGTCGAGGTGGTTATTGTATGTGTTAACTTTTCCATATTCGAACTGCGCCGGATGCTGACAGTGTTGTAGTGTCTCATACGAGATGGGCCCGAGCTGTGGCATATGATCACAGACGATACTGTGGCCGAGACCCAGACGCACGAAAAGCGTAGGGTACATTAATTAACCCCGTACTTCCTCCTATATCTACATACTGTACCGTCTTCTCGCATCTTCTCTCCCCACTCAAAACCACCCCTCTTCGGCGTATAATACCTCCCATATTATTATAGACAGTTTCCGATTCTAAGTACGGATGGCTGAGTTGGATTGTCGATTATCCGCGGAAACCCAGGGTCTGCAGTTCGGGAAACAGTGACATGGTAGCTGTTGTTTTTCACGCGAAGTTTTCTATCGTCGGCGAAGGGCGCGCCAAAACGTACAGTCTAGACAGTCTAGGCCCAAAACGATCGGGGTTAGGGTTAAGGCACCGGTCCTTTACTGACGCTGTCTGCTCAGCTGCTCTTCCTCCGACCGCCACAACACACATCCCGCCGACCAGAACCTGAGAATAGAGTCTGCCCAGTATGTCCATGGAAGAGAGTATCAGCTTGGAAGAGACCAACAAAATCCGTATATCCATCGGTCTTAAGCCACTCACAGATGACAAAGGTCCCGCGGACGACAAGGAGAAGCAGGCGGAAGAGAACTATGTTAAACAACGAGAGGCAGAAGCGAAAGCTAAGGGGGCAAAGTACGTATCTCCTTGGGCCCCCTCTTGACTCGCGTTACTGACTACTGGTACGCGTGTAGGGAGATCCAGGACAGGATAGCTAAGTGAGTATGCTCCACGTACTTACGCTCTGGGCGTGCTGATTGGACTTCTTTCCGTTTTACAGGGTGAGAAATAAGCGAGAGCTCCATGCCAAACTGAAAGGCGCGACTCTCGGTGATGCCGAAGGCGACGTAGACGATACCCTGAAATGGGTCAAACGGAGCAAGAAAAAGGAGAAGGAGCTGGCCAAGAAGCGACAGCAGGAGCTAGAGAGCATGGACAAGGCCATTCAAGAGGAATACACCGAGAGTGAGGGTCAGTTCCGTACACTATTGCGCTTATATTCTTAAGATTTCAACAGAGGATATCGTCGGACTCAAGGTCAGCCATGACTTTGAAGCGATGGAGGAAGGCGAGGAGCGTATACTCACCCTCAAAGACAGTCGTGTACTAGAGGATGAAGGTATGCCTGACCCATGTATCACGTGGCTCGATGCTGATGGAACTGCACCGCAGAGGACGCCTTGGAGAACGTTGAACTCGCCGAAGATGAACGGACAAAAAAGAACAACGAGCTCAAGATCAAGAAACGAGATTACACTGGCTACGACGACGACGAGTTTGTTGCTGGGAGTGAGGGAATGAAGCGCTCTCTGCTGTCCAAGTATGACGAGTTCTTAGAGGGGCCTAAGGAGACGGTAAATCAAGCGAACCCTCGTATATGCGTTACTCATTACGTTTGTTAGGGCTTTCGCTTGGGTGGTTCATCAAGCTCTTCGAATGTGACCGGACAGGTCAAGAAAGTAACCGCGGCTTCAGTTAACAAGACTCTGCTGTCTATAGATTATGAGAGTAGGTTACGTCGTTTTGTTCACCCATGATGCTGGCTAACTCGATGGGCAGAGAATGTCGAGATGGTTGACTACCTCAAGGAAGGTGATGTCGGCTTCAAGAAGCCCAAGGTTGTTTGATTTTACACCTAGTCATCTGGGATGACAGCTAACTGGTATTGACAGACAAAGAAAAAGCGCCCATCTCGTCGCATAGCTGAACTATCAGACGTGGCCGATATCAAAGCGGAGAGCGACGAAATGCAAGTCGATGAGAAGCCCATAATACCACGGCAGCGCAACCTGGACGTAAACTTCATAGATGATGATGAGCTTCAAGCGGCACTTGCCCGTTCTCGTCGAGCAAAGACGGCAAAACTGAAGAAGCTGTCACCAGAGGACCTCGCCAGGAAAAGTTAGTTCGCTCTAATCTTTCTCATGGCCAATGCTAATTGTAGCTACTTCCAGTTGCTGCGAAGAGGGAGCAGCCAACTTCCGCCAACGGCGATGCGATTAAAGTTGAAGACGAGGAGGGGGAGGACAGCGGGCTCGTCTTTGACGATACCTCTGAATTCGTTCGTGCTATCACTTATAACCCAGTTGCCGTCAAGCAAGAGCCCAAGGCGGAGCCCTCGCTGTCCCGTGCGCGGCCAGAGTCTCGTCAGCCGTCAATGCCTCCACCGGATCAAGATGTCGAAATGAGTGCAGAAGAGACTGAAGAGGGCGAAGTCGAAGTCAAAGAGGAAGAAGACGACGAGGCTATGCTTCATGCTCTGGAGAATGCCATCAAAGAACATGAAATGAACGAGCAAAAAGAGTTCAACGGCGAAATCCTTGTGGGCACTGCCTCTGAGCAGACGTTCGCCTCCGGAATGGCTGCCACTCTCAACATTCTCCGGTCACAGGGCGTCCTTGCTCAGCCCGGCGCCGATCAACAGGAGCGCGAACACGTGCAGAAACAGCGCGACTTATGGCTCGCGAACTACCGACATCTGCTCGCACAGCGTGACCTCGAGCGTGCCAAGACGCGAGGCGGGAACAAGGACCAAGCTACCCGTGAATATGAGAATCGCCACCGGGAACAGCAGGAGGCGCGGCAGAACTTGGATGCGTTCAAGGACTATAAGCCAGACGTGGAGATCAAGTATTACGACGAGTTCGGGCGCGAGCTCGCGCCGAAGGAGGCGTGGAAAGCGCTCTCGCACAAGTTCCACGGCAAAGGTTCCGGTCGCATGAAGACGGAGAAGCGGCTGAAGAAGATCGCGGAGGAGCGCAAGAAGGAGGCGATGGCGAGCGGCGACACACCTCTGAGCATGAACCAGGCATTCCAGATGCGCCAGGAGAAGGCCGGCCAGGCGCACTTTGTGCTCTCCGTCGGCAACCGCGGCGCCGTTCCGCAGGCGGCCGAGTTCCTCGATGCACAGCCGCTGTCGAAGGGCAAGACGGAAAAGAAGAAAGAGAAGAAGAACAAGCAGAAGGCGGAGCCACAGGCGGATTCGATCGGCTTCATCACGCTCCCCGCAAGCGTATCGTACAACGGCAGCCCTGCGCCTATGTCGGGTGCTGCAAGCACTAGCGGCGGCTCGCCGGCGCCCCGCCCGGGCTTCTCGCGCATCTCGTCGAGCATGGTCGAGGTCGAGGCTTCGAAGGAGGGCACGCCCGTCCCCGCGGACCGCACGAAGGTTGTCATCGGACTCAACAAGAGGAAGGCAGGCGAAGACCTTGCGGGCACCCCGCCGCCAAAGAGCCAGAGGCGGTGAGCGGGAGCGTTCTGTTTGTTTCGAGGTGCTGTAAGCTGCTTGGACAATGGTGCTCATGCGCATCTTTGGGAATCGTATTATAATAATATACAGTGCGTGTGGTATCGTAGATGGTTGGGGAATGTAAAGCCAAGTGTGGTCAGAGCATGCCGACGCTCTTGATATTGAGGTCTTTCGCAAACGCACAACGGCCCTTGTCGCGTCCAGTCGCGCTCTCAAATGCCTTTGTAAGTGAAGCTTGGCTCTCGTCAATCCTACGAAAGGTTCAAAGTATGGCCAAGCGTCGTCGCAAGTGAGACGCACCATTCCACAGGGTGGGCATGCTTTTCGAGGGCGACCTTGATCGTAGTCCAAGAGAAACGCGCTAACGAGGGGAAGCCGAATGTCGGTTCGAGCGATGACTGGATCCACGCCACAGTTTTAGGGTCTGCTCGGCCAATCAAAGACCGTAGTCATGTCTCGAGGATGTTGGACTCACCTCCTGGGTATCCACTTCCAATAGGTCCGCCCCACTTCGTCTCATCCATAACCTTCTCTGCACTCCCTTCCTCTTCCTCTTCCTCTTCTTCTTCTGACACATACGCTTCCTCAAACATCCATCCCTCGATCCACGCATCACGTGTCACCTTCGCTGCCACACTGGCCGCGCTGACGATCTTGAACTTGCTGTCCGCCTTGGCGGTGACGGTGAAGGAGATGCCAGGGAACATCGTGCTGAGAGCTTTCTCCCACGCCTGGGGTGGGCCGAGCGCGTCGACGTACACCTCCGAGAGTTTGACGCCACTCTCAAGGACCTCGCGGATGAGGAGGATTGTTGCGTCTTCGGACTGGCGGTTGAGGTTGATTGGCGGGTGCCGGAGCATGCCCGCGGAGATGGCTTGTGGTCTGTGCGGTGTGTGAGGCAGAGAGACCTTGAAAGGGGAGGGTAATGGCGCTTACGCGAGTACACGGACTGACCAACCAATGTTCGCAGGGTCGGAGGAGAGCGTATCCAGCAGCGACGAGCGCGTCGAGGCATTCAGTGTCTTTGAGTCTGTTCGTAGCCTTCAGCAACTCGATCCCGCGAACGGGCTATGAGCAGCGTACCAGCAAAGCCCAGCTTGTCCAAGTCTTCTTTGTAAGACGCTGGGCAGTACGCAACGCCGTATACGAGTGGGCCCAAGACTGGTCCACGACCGGCCTCGTCTACACCAAGGATGTACGGGCCCTCTGCAGTGGGCTTTGGTGAGTGGTAGGTGTAGGAGGCTGTGAGGGGCGACGTGACATCTGCAGAAGGTATTCCTGTTTGTTCCTCCATCCCGTATCGCGTGAGGGCCAGAAAATAGGGCACTATGGGACGAGAGTATGCAAACGAGAGACGCGGCGTGTCCCGACGTGTTGTTTGGGCCTGTTTATCTTCCGGCTTTGTGGCGCCGTGCTACAAAAATCCTCGTCCTTACAACCAGCAACGTTTTCACGGCCTTTGGACCATCCAAGCCAGTAGTAACAACTCTAAGGAATTGCTCTAAACCAAAGAAGTAGAATCCATGTTGTTATTGGTACGTAGGTAAGAGCAACTTTGAAGCTACAAAGCACAAATTGTCGCCTAAGCATGAAACTCCATTCTCCGTAGTGTGATAGCGTGAACAGAGCGATTAAGTTGGCTTTCTACTCGTAACCACCTTAAAAAAGTGAAGAAGCGTTTACACACGCCTCCATGTCAAGCAAAACGCTGACCAAAAGGCGCAGCAAAGCAGGTGGTCGCAACGGTGAAGGGCGGCTGGCGCTGGAAGCGTTCTTTATACGACTACGGTGCCGGCCATCAAAAAAACGAAACTCCGCTGTTCGCGGTCGTGATCTGCCGAATGTGAGTAGAGCAGCGGTCAAGAAACGTTGGCCTGTCATGAAACGACAGCGTGCAGCGTTGAGCGCTGCGGACTTGATCTTTTCCTCTACGCCTATCGTTCCAGTGGTGCTATGGCGACCTTCATCCTCGATTTCCTTCGGGCATGGCTCAAAGATTTATTAGAGCCATACCCACCGCCCTCCCTGATCAACATGCGCCGAGGTCTTCCAGGACACCCTGACAATCCTCTGATGGTGAGCTCTCGACTTTCCGCCATGCCCGCTAGCGGAGAAGTGATTACCTGGTGTGTTTTAGATGCAATTCTTCACTTGGGAGTGTAAACATCCAGAAATGAGCTGGTGGAGGCATTTTGAGACAGAAGTGCCCGTTTTAGCTGAGCTCGGCATCACTCAGGTCTGGTTACCCCCGCCCAATAAAGCCATGCGAAAGGTGAGTAGCTTTTGACATTACCGGTAAGTGCTTATTAAATGCTTCACACAGGAAGGCCAAGGATACGACGCTTATGATCTGGTGTGTCGCGCTACTGGCACATACGGAGCATGTAATTCATCCGCACTTCATGTTCATAGTGGGATCTCGGAGAGTTTGATCAGAAGGGTACCGTTGCCACGCGATGGGGCACCAAAGAGGAGCTTGTCCAGGCTGTTGCAGTGGCCAAAGCTCACGGAATAGATGTCCTTGTTGACGCTGTCCTTAACGTAAGCTGAACATCGCACGCGTTTTGTGTTATTGGTACTAATTTTAAACAGCATAAACTTGGCGCTGATAGACCGGAGACCTTCAAAGCTGTCCAGGTGGAGGCGCACGACCGGACGAAGGAGGCTGGTCCCGTACAAGAAATAGAGGTATGCTTGGGTAACGATCAGCCCGCTTGAAATCGTGCTTAGACAAATCTTCGCGCAGGGTTGGACTGCATTTGATTTCACAGGTCGAGCTGGAAAGGTAAATGTGAAGTAAACTTGGCGAGCGTATTTTACTGATTGTGCGCAGTATAGTGAGCTTAAGTGGACTCATGAGCACTTCACTGGTGCGTTTATTTGTTTGCTGTTGACTAACGTAATGTGCGACTAAATTCGATTTATCTCGCAGGCATAGACTGGGACCAGCGCACCAAAACCAACGCCATCTACCGTATTGTTAGCGACAAGCACAAAGGCTGGTCACCCCACGTAGACAAAGAGTTCGGAAACTATGATTATCTTCTTGGAGTTGACGTACGTTTACGTCTGGAATTGTCCCGATGGCCTCTTTTATGAAGCTCGTTCCAGATTGATCACAGACACCCCGCTGTTCGCGAAGACCTGCTAGCTTGGGGAAAGTGGGTCCTCGAGGTACGTTCGAAGCGTATAGATGAAACTTCAGATTCCCGCCATCTGACGTCTCCTTTTTTTAGACAACCGAAGGTCAGGGTTTCCGACTCGACGCCATTAAACACATGGACCGGACATTCCTGTTAGAATTTGTGAGTTGAAATTACGGACCTACTGTGCACTCAAAAGGGAGCTAATACATTTTCCGGATGTCATAGCTGAAATCAGCTCGTAAGCTGCCGGGACGACAGAACCTGTTCGCCGTGGCGGAGTATTGGTCGGGAGAGGTTGACAAGATTAAGCCATATATCCGCACGTTTGAAGGCTTGGTAAGTCCCTACGGCGCTCTGCTGAGTGTTGCGTCTAAAGAGCATGTGCGCAGCTATCGTTCTTCGATGTCCCGCTGCACTACAATTTTCATAACGCTAGCAAGGAAGGGTCCAGCTACGATCTCCGCAAAATTCTCGATAACACAGTCGTACAATGCCGACCTATGGATGCCGTCACTTTCGTTGACAACCATGAGTGCGTCTCTCCCTCTCATTATTCGTCCATTACTGACGGGTTTGTAGCACGGTATGTCTTGTTGGGAAAGATTGTAGTGAGGTGAATAGCTGATGACCGATTCCAGCAAATTGGACAGTCACTTGAAAGCTGGGTAAGACAGTGATTTGATCGCTAAAGAGAAGTTTTCTGACGAGGAAGTATAGGTGTATAGTAGTTTCAAGCTTCAAGCGTACGCTCTGATTCTTCTCCGGAAGGAGGGCCATCCGTAAGCTTAGTTTAGTTCGCCATGCTTATGTCCCTGGCTAAGCCCATCTACTAGGTGCACTTTCTACGGAGATCTCTACCCCAACAAGGAATGCTATGACGACAAGATCTCCACTGGACTGAAGACCCTACTATATGCGCGGAAGAAGTTCGCGTATGGTACCCAGCGCGATTATTTCGAGGAGCAGAATCTCATCGGCTTCGTGCGCGAGGGCGACTCATCGCACCCGGAAGGCTGCGTCGTTCTCGTCAGCAATGCCGCAGAGAACCCCTCGTGAGTGGTCTGTCTTTGTGCAATTGGGTATACAGCCTAAATGTCTATCGATCTTCGTCGGACTTTATAGAGGCGACTCCTCGCACATCATTCGCATGAACGTCGGAAAGGTCAGCAGCTAAATTTTTCGTTTTCCTGTTCCTGCTGTGGCTGACCCGGGGCTGTGGATCCGTAGAGGCACATACGCAAGGCCTATCGATCGGTCTTTGAGGGACGTACTGCCACGGTCGAGGTTGATGTACACGGATGGGGCGCCTTTTCCTGTCCGCGCGGCGGACTCGAGGTGTGGGTCCCTACCCCCCTGCCTAACTAGTTACAATCACCCCTGTCGTCTTAGATACTCGTACAGACTTCGGGATGCACTCTTCCAATTTCGTCCTGTTCGTCCATTAATTCTGCACAATTCGTCGTATTGTTTGTTTTGTTCCACGTATGGTTACACACCCATAGAGCGCAAGATAGGCTACATACTGCTAATACATCCGCACTGCAACAACAAACCCTACACATCGCTCACCTGCTCGTCGATGCGGTACAGCTGCCGCTCGTCGCGCGCCTCCGAGTCCATCGGCGGGCCGTGCACGGAGAGCTCGTCCGCGCTGCTCCCGTTCACACTCATGGCGCGCAGCTCGAGGAACTTGCCGACCTCTGCCTTCTCTACGTGGGCACCTTCGTGTGGGAGGACCCTCGAGTCGGTGCTCGCCCGTGCGGGCTCGTCACCGACACCTGTCGCGGCCTCGCCGCCCGTGGCGGCGAGGTCCTGCGCAGGCTGCTCGCCGTCAAATAGCACGGCAGTTTCTTCGAGCGTGCGACCCCGTGTCTCGACGATGTACGTCATGACGAAGGCAAGCTCTATGACGAGCCAGCCGCAGTACACAAGATACTGCGGGTTATGTCAGTTTAGAAGTGGGGTGCTCGCATAAGGGTGACGCACGTATTTCCAATGGATAGCGTCCAGGGCCCACGGATTGACGAATTGGTTGAAGGCCAAGGTGAGGGATACAACAAAGTTCTGGGAATGTTTAGTTGATCGTCGACAGCGGGATTGGGAGGTGAGGCTCACCATCACAGCGAAGCCTTTGGCCCGAATGTTGAAAGGTAAAATTTCCAAGGTATATGCAATAAGCATTGGAGTGTATGCTAGATCATAGAACAGATAGAAAAGGAAAATGAATGGAAGAGTTGCTGTCGAGGCGTCAGTTTTAATCGTCTGCATACTTGGTGAAGGACAAACCCTTCGCTGCGGACTGGTTGTGGAATTCGTTAAAAAGAGCGGTGGTCACAGTCCACAGCACGAAACCTGCCCTCTCCCTTTGATTAATGCACACGTATGGTGTAAAGACAGTGCGTACTGAAAAGCATGCCAACGTTAGAAATGATGAAGAGAGTCCTCCGTCCGAGACGGTCGATCAAGAAGGCACCGGTCATGGCAGCAGCGAGATTCCAAATCTGCAGACCACCATTGATGGCGGCCTTCGTACTTGGTTGCGTGAAGCCAACACCTGGGGAGACATTAGTATCTGTGATGCAACTGAACAACAGCATATGTGACGCACCCTCCAAGATGAGGTTAATGTAATACGAAACAAGGCCATTACCGCTCCACTGCGAGAACACCGCGAGCGCAACGATGATGCGCATCCGCTTACGATTACCAGGAGTCGTGAAGAGCGTGCTCCAGGTAATCTCCTTTGCCACCTGCCGCTCGAGTTTCAGTGCGTGCCGGATTTGCGCCATCTCGAAGACGACGAGTGGATCGCGTGTGCTGCCGCCGTTGGCGTGGAAGCGCGCCAGGACGCGGGCCGCCTCTGATTCCTGCAATATAGTTATGAAATTACCGTAAGCAACAGTCGTGTGTAGTAGCGGAATAGAGTAGGAACGTTAGAACGCAGGAACGCACCCTGCCCTTCGCAATCAAGAACCGCGGACTTTCAGGTATGAACCTACGGCAGGCATCAGTTGAGCCGCGCGTGACCACGGGAAAGGTATTATACCAGACAAGTAGAAGCTGCAAGAGAGGAGCGAGGGCTTGCACGAGTGTGGGTATCCGCCATGACCAATTTGAGTCTGCTGCCCCGTTGTACGCCCCGAAGACGGCCCACGCGGCTTTCATTTTGCGGTTCAACATGTCAGGAAGAAAAGTTCACGCGTGGGATGTCCTTACATATGATGCTGCCAACATACCACGACGCGTTGTAGCTCGATGTGAGCTTGCCGCGCTGATGATACGCGAAGTCAGAGTGGTTACTTGGTAAACGAGGGTCGCTGGCGTACCTGCGTTGGATAGGCGAGTTCCGTGATTAACAGGGGTGCTGCATTGAGACCGAAAGAGAGGCCGAAACCAACTAGAAGAGAAAAGAATGAAGGAAGCTCGACGGAGAGTGATAGGGGTAGAAATTCACTCATGCCTCGCGCGCCGATGAAGGCGCCGATACTCCTGGCAGTGGCCTGCACCATCGCTCCTGCAAACATGATACACGAGCCGATGAACAGAGTCAGGCGTCGTCCGATGTTGTCTGAAATGTATGGCGTTATTGGCAGTGCCTAGCGGATACCGTAAATGGGTAGAAGGAGAGTGAAACACGAGGAAAAACTTACTGCTATCGAACCGATGACCTGCATTGCGCTGATTAGACCGAGCACTTTACCATCCGGATTGTCGAAGTATTGTTGCCATGCCGGGAGGATCTGAAGCCCTGCATGAGTTCATTCAGCAAGCTGTGGGCGTGGTTAGGTCCAAAGTCACGTACCGTTGACCAAAGACGAGTCAAAACCGTTGATCGGGGCAGTCAGAAGTGGTAGAATGAGGTAGAGGTTTAGATATCTTATGCCTGCCAGTAGTGTGTTTGGTGTGCAGAGTACGGGAGCAACCTGTATGCACCATACCTCGATCCGTCCACCATGGCCCTCTGTGAATGAAGTCCACGATCGTCCACTCTGGTACCGGCATGGGGATGGGAACCACGTATGGTTTGTGTCGACACTCAATGAACGCGCTAGGGGTCGAGAAGAAGCATCCAGAGAGTGCAGAGAGAGGAGCGCGTCCTATATGTATTTTATTGCTGAGGGGACATTCAAACGGTTATTCCGCGAAGAAATCTGGGGTACTGCGGGGAAGGAAGTCAAATCAAAGGCCAATTTAGCCACGGGCGCAGTCACACGCAGACGAGCACTCACTCAGCTGAGATTATCCACGCGGGTGAACAGCGGGCGAGCATGGGCGAGCCATCGGGCCCCTTGGCACTCCCTTGGCCTAGGAAACATGTCTCAGGTGTTCTGATTGGCAACTTCGGCGAATTCTCGCTCAAGGTTTTCACAGGCGGAAGTTGCTGTTCGGTATATTGACTAAACTCGTTCTGTGCTGCTCCTCCCCACAGGTCACAGAGCCAAAGGCTCGCCTGAATGTGGAGTAGAGAGCCAGCAAGTTCCGTTCCCTCTGACCTATTACCGGTCGTCTCGCATTTCAATCTCGACCGGCTAGCCTTGGGGAAACAGCTGTGGCCACAGCAATACTTAGCTAATCAATTGCGCTCGAATCTTGGGCGTAAGTAGCCGTTCCTGAAATGATGGTAAGCTCAGTTGCCTCTATGATGGTTGTCTCGCACTCATCTAGTTCGAACTCATATCATCTTTGCTGTTGGCATGGCCGTCCAACTCTATCAGATCCCAAAAATCCGAGAGTCGTGACATGCCCAATGAAAGTAGCGGCCTGAGTAGGCAAGTCCGGTGGAAGGATGCGACATACCCGGTATGATATTTTCACAAGACCATTCGCGTTTAGTGAGTCCGAGGCGATGGTGCGTGCTGTGGCGGGTTCCCGTGACTTTGATCAGATTGTCTCGGGCGCTTCAACTGATAGGCCGAAATTAGACTTCATGAGGCTCCGACTCGCTGTTCAAACGTTCAACCTCCAAGGAGACGAGGCTGCGTCCCGAGGCGATGGTACGGCGACGGATGTCACACGACTCTCGACTGGTGTGTGGCTAAGAGCACTCAATGCACCCCCTATCAGATCCGGGCCTCGACATGTTTTGCGGACGAACTGATTATCAACGACCGGGAATGCCCAACACCGACAGTGCCGCTTCTCAAGAGAGTGGCCCGACTGGGAACGACCTCGCTTAATGCATGCAAGTCTGAATAATAGGCTGACGCACGAGACGTGAAACGGAGAACGTTGACTTGCTCCGGTGGCAAGTATCGGCACAAATCTGACGCAGGTGCTAAAGAAGAAGAAGAAGAAGAAGAATAGTGCCGCATTACGATGCCTCTTGATAAATGATGGATAAAGGTATACAAGCAGAACGGTGTCTATACGCATGAATTCAACAACTGCCGCGCGAGAGTAGGCAGAAATACTGACCATTAGCCATTAGGATCCATTTATAGCGTTTAATTCTATTCTGTGGTAAACACTAAGCAGACACCGTCGTCCCCTCCCGTGACAACGACCTGGCCTTGCTGGCCCAGTGAGGCGGCTAGAACCGGGCCGTGATGTCCTTTATGTTCCCTGACGAGCGTGCCCGTCCTCGCATCCCATGTCTTCAGAGTCTTGTCTGCAGAAGCGGACAGTATCATGTGTGACTTCGGGTGCGGGAAGCTCAGCAGTGCCGTGACCACATCCTAACAACGAAAGAGGAGTGTTAGATAGAGCAATAAAAGCAGACGCGCAAGTATCACCGACCTCATGTTCCATGGTTGCACGAAGACGCATTGTGCTTAGGTCCCAGATACACGCCTTGCCGTCCGCGGCACCTGTTACACAAACACCACCGGTACCGACCTGACCTGCGCCAGTCAAGTCCACAAAGATTATGGCTTCAACACTGTCATCCTCCTTGTGGCCGCCGAGTGCACCAATGATATCGCCTTTGTTCAAGCCGACGACACGGACACCTCCTGAAGCACCGCCGACCACGGCCAGCGTCGATGCGGGATTGACAGCAAGCGCAGTGATGGGACCAAGGTCGAAGCGAGCATCCGCGGGGGTGAGCTTGAAGACTGGAGTCGGATTTCTCGGATCCCAGAACATGAAATTTCCGTCCTCGTCGGCTGTGACAATGCGCTTGCCATCTGGAGTAAAGTCTCCGCAGGTAACGGAGGCAGTGTGGCCTGCGAACACTTGCATAGTAGTTCCTGAGGGCACTGAGGGACAGGTCAGCTCATGCCACTCGAAGCTTGTTGCAGCGAAGTGACTTGCATTGCCAAAGCCATACGGTGCCATCGTTACCACCAACAAGCAGCACTGCACCCTTAGGATGCCATTTTATCCACTAGCAAGACCATCAACAAGTTATCAGCTGTAGGGCGGTACGGATGAGGACTGGAAGCTTACCATGACCTCATCAGGACCTTGCAGCTCCGTCAAGAATTCCCATGTCTTGTAATCCTCCTTGCCTCTCCGTCTCCATATCCTGACCTTGCCATCCATACCGCCAGTTGCGACAAACTCTCCGTCCGCGCTGAACGCAGTGCTGGTGACACTATCCGTGTGTCCCGTCAACTTTACGATCTCCTCGCCAGTGGTATAGTCCCAGATGTATCCTAGATCATCTTCGCCTCCCGAGGTAGCGATAGGCGCAGTGGGATGTGCTGTAACAGCGAAGACACTCTTGCCATGCTTCGGGAAGTGCTGTATCGAGTTGTCCTCGTACACGATCTCGTCGCTCATCTCGTGTTCGCCTCCTTCTTGGCCGTCGCCCTCGTCTTCGTCCATCAGGTTATCGCCATCATCGGCGACTTCGAGGTAAACCTCCTCCTCATTAATAAACTGCTCGTCCTCGTCGATCTCCTCGGCATGCTCATTCTCCGCATGCTCAGGCTCCATGGGAGTGTTTATCGGTGGATATATGCGTGCGGGTAAAGGGTGGTGTCTGTGTAGTCTCCAAAGGCTGAGGGATGGCTTTTGAAGGACGTCGGGCCCGTAAGGAGTCAGAAAGGACGAGAAGGCTGAGTAACAGGCTGAGTAAACCTATCTGCTCGAAGCGCGAAGTGCAAGCGGAAATTATTGCCAAGATCAGTGCTCTAGATAGGATTAGATTTCGTACAGTGAGATGACGAAATTGATTGACCTTAGGAGTCTGACTGGACAGTGGCGGAAATCACGCGGGTAACAGGACGAAGGCCAGTCAGGATTGGGTGTCGGACCAGCCGACAATAAATACACCCACAGATAAAGCTAGTAGGCCCCCTGAAGTGCAGACGCATACGTCGCCCAGAACGGCGAGTCAAATCCCAGTGTGGGCTCCTCACACGGTGAACCATGATGGACCGAGTCCCCGTCAGGGTCACTCTGGTATTCACCGTCAATCTCGCCATCCAACGCAAAGCCCACCCCGCCATACGCCCGCGCTGGCTTCGGGTGCACCGTCTCTATGACACACGAGACGAGCACAGGTGAAGCAGGATGCGACCAAGGCGACGGCAGGGAGCCCTCGACCTCCGACGAGGAGGAGGAGGAGTCTGCATCGTCCTCGAGGAACGAGAGGTCGACAGCGACGCCGGCTGCGTGGGTCGACTGGGGCTCGATGGTGGTGACGAGCTCGGCCTCGTCGAGGCACGGCAGGCTCAGCCCCAGTCCAACCAGCGTCGCACCGGCACGCCCAGACTCTCTGCAGGACGACGCGACCTCGGAGACGCCGAGGCCGGGAACGTCTATGCCCAGTCCGACACCGGTGGCGGCGCCGCCCGTGGCACCACCGCCCGAGAACGGCGCGGCAGCCATCAAAGGCGCGAACGTGCCATCGACGTCGCTCACACAGCCGCGCACGCTCGGGGACGGTGTGCGCATCGGTGCGTACTCGCTCCCCGGCGATTCTGTCGGCGGCTTGCGAGGCGACCGGCGCGGGGCGAGCAGCGGCGGCGAGGGCATCACCGGTGACATCGACGCTGGCTCCTCCGACTGGGTGTCGTCATCGAGGAACCAGCTGTCGATGAAGATCCCCAGGCCAACACCAGCATGCACATGCACACTGGTGGTGAGCACGTCGGACGGCAGTCCGAGGCCCAGGCCGACGGTGGCTTTGGTGTGCGAGTACTGCACATTGGAATCTGCGAATGTGATGAGTATCGACGGAAGCCTGAGGTTAGATGACGACTTACTACCAGAGCCAGCGGGCGAAGTGGGGAAGAAGTGAGAAGAGTAGACAGTCATAGTGTTAAGAATGCGAATAAGAAAGAATTAACTGTAATGTCGCAGAAGGTATCTTTGACCAGCAAAGATGATGGGTAGACGAGTTGAAGATGTTCTGAGGTTCTCTCGCTCCCTGCGATGGATTTATGGATTTCTTGACGTTGGTCTTGTTGACGAGCACAACAAGTGGCGGAACGACCTGTTGCGCTCGTTTGTTTGTCGGTGGGCGCCGCTGTAGGACGTTCCGCCGACGGTTTGTCCCGCAAAGGCAGGCGCAAGACAACTACAGAGGTTACATACTCTGCGCCGTCGCCGTTGAGAGGACATCCGGGATGTGAAACGTCGGAAGCGAGAGCAAGGGGGTCGGGATGTGCGGGTATTTGGAAGTGGGCGGGGGTGCTCATCGGGATGATCGACCTCCGCAATCCGCGGGCGCTCATCAAAATTATTATCTCCGGTGTTTATAGATAACCATGTGGCAAGCATGGGACCTCGCGAGGAATCCAGAAGGTAGGTGTTTCATTTGCATGCCTTCGTCTTGCGACAGCTCCACAAATTGAAAATTTCGGCGAGTGATCTGCCGGTGAAGGTTTGTGCGTGGAAGAGGGATCTTTCTGGGTTCGTATATTGACTTTGATTTCCCTCACTGGCCGGAACGAGAAGCCACTGTATACGTAGATCGGAGAATCTATCACAAGAAACGAGAATCACAATGGTATGTAGATCACTAATTCGAAGGAGACTAAAGGGAATATTACAGTCTGTATATGACAAACATAGGCGGAGGGTCAATCTGACAACAAGAGTGAAGAAGGGGGTATTACAACAGAGACTACTTGAGGCAAAGAGCGGTCGGAGTGAGATTGCCACTACGCATGGCTGGAAAGTACTGTGTCCGTATTGTCCGTACGGATAGAAGCGGCACGACCCGACTCGATCGAGCCAAATGACGATCGACATTTTCTATCGATGCAACCGGGGGAATAACAGCTCACGCCATGATGGCAGCGACGGCGGCACCGATGAATCCAACAGCCCCAATGGCAACACTATTACCCAGAGCGCCATTGCTGCCGCCGGTCGTGGACGGGCTAGAGCCGGAGGCGGAAGAGGTACCGCTGGAACCGCTGGAGCCACTGGACGAGCTGTAGACCATTAGCTACACAAAAACCCATCATTTGCAAAAAGTACTTACGGAGCAGTCGAGAGAGGGGAGGACGCGGATCCGGTGCCGCTGCCAGCAGAGTTTGAAGCAGACAATCCAGAGGTGCTGGCAGTGCTAGGAACGCCACCAGAGGTGGATCCACCGGTAGAGGCCGCCGAAGTAGGGGTAGCCGAGGCTCCAGCACTTGTGATGCAACTGGTAGAAGCTATAGAGCACTCTTCAGAAAAAGCTGTTCTACATGGGAGAACGTGAAACACATACTGCCAGGCAGGATAGTAACAGCAGCAGATTGCTCATTGGTACCGGTGGCATCGCGGACGTTGAACCCGACGGCTTGACCGGAAGGAATGTCGGTCGTCCATGTGAATGAGGTCTGGTTGATGCCCGAAAACTGTTCAAGAACGGCGCCGTTCGCATCGTTTGCATTGACCCTGCAGATATTGTGAGCCCAATCGTGACTGATACAGGCAAGCACCGCAAACTTACAGCTATATATCATAACGCGTAGTTACGTGTGAGCACAGAATGATGTCATAATCTCTAACCCTGTGGCAGATAACGTACCAGAACATAGGGGGCTTAAAAGAATGACAGTCAGTCGACGGGTGGCCGGCCGAATGCTAAAGAGGGCTCACCAGTTCCACCAGCAGTCCATGTGATTTGAGTCGGGACACACTCAAGGACGTTGTTGCTAAGCAAGAACGAGGTGAGGAAGCCGGGCAAGGGACACGCATGAGCGACATACGGAGTGTTAACCTGGAACTGCGCAGCCGCAAAGCCGGTAGAGACGGCGACGGTGATGAGGGCGAGGAGAACGTTCTTCATGGCGTGGGGGAGGGGCGGTGGAAGGGACGACGAGCACAGATGGATGAAAAGCAACGAGCCTGGGAGAAAACAGGAGCACCAACCAGTTCTTATAGCGCCGGAGTTCGGCAAGTGTGACAATAAGCGCCGTTACGTAACAGAGCGGCTTCGAGAATCGTCCATCAGCAGATTGCGACACATTGGTCAGACAGGTCACGGCAGCGCATCCTCGAGCTCGCCGTGGGTGACGCTGGCGACGATGGCCAGCCGCTGGTCCGCCCCTCCTAGCGCATTCCGACGCCCGCCCAGCCCAGTAACAATCGCACGGGGCCATCTCTCCTATCTGAACTTTGAATGAAAACCGAGGCCTCGTGACGGGTATATCATGATGGTCTACGCGGTAGCAGCCAAGTACCAATTTCCTACGCGTAGAGCTACCAGTGAGTCAAACAACACCCGTTCGCTATCATGACTAGTCGTTATACAGTAAGCACGCACTAAGTATAGGCCTAGTGTGGCGTCTCAACGCAGCGCGCAGCGAACGGTGGCCAACAGTCCAAAGTGATCACTGGCCCACTGTCCACCAGCCGTCTTCGCTCCGACCCCAACTCTCCCAGGTGTGTCCACCTCGATCTCGCCATTGGGCAAATACAGTATCTTGTCCAGCCTTCCGGGCAGAAACTCCTTCGTCGGCGGCTGGTAACCCCATGTGTTTCCCCTGCCGTCTTCAGGACCCCGCCACGCGTCCGCCAAGCCTGCCCACGCAGGCAGGCCCCAGTCTTGTGCCGTGATCGCGTTCATGTCGCCTGCGACTATGCCCCCATCCACGGCTCCCCCCGTTAGCGAGTCAACGGCGTCTCGCAGCTGCCACGGGCGGAACGACGCCCCTTGCGTCAGCGACTCGAGGTGCACGTTCGCAATCCGCAGCATCAGTTCGCGTTCCTCCCCACCCGCAGCACCCTCGGACAACGCGTGGGAGCTTAAGCGGACGTCGACAATCAATGCGTGGCGCTTCATGGCAGAATAGCCGTACTCCATGATCCAGGCGCCCACCACGGGGATGGTGCGCGCGACGAGCGTCACGTTCCCATACCCTACACCTCCCGGCCAGTGCTCGGCCTTCGTCGGACAGACCACAAAGTGGTCGCGCACCCACTTGTGGTCGAGGATGGCAGGAAGCGCGTCCTGCCGGACCTCCTGCAGGAGAATGCAGCACGGCTCGGGCTGCTCGCCGTTTGGACACTTGAATAGCTTGTGCTGGGCGTACGTGAGGATCGTCACGATGCGGTCTTGGCAACCGTCCGCCATGGCGTCGACGTTCCATGTGAGCAGCTGCATTGAGTCCGGAATTGGATCCTCAGACTCTGACTCGCGCCTGCCTCGATCGCGCGACCTTGAGCGGGACCGGGAGACAGGACGTGAGCGAAAGGAAAAATGTGGCCTGTCGGGTGATGGGGTGCCGTCGGAGTCGACATCGTGCGATGGGCTCTTGTGCCGGCGGTACCGTGAGATGCACCTCCAGCATAGCTTCCGCTGCGACCACACCCGTGGGCGAATTTCGTGGTACGTACTCGATTTAGTGTGCGACTGTGAGCCGCTTCGTCTGCGCGAATCCATCTTGGTGATGCTCTTCTCCTCTTGGCTGTGCTAATGTCAACGACTTGCAGGAACCTGGCGACCTTGAACAGCTCGAACGCATCTGTGGCCCCTGGTGCGCTATATACTATCTGATCTGGTCCAGGCCATGAGAGTATCCCGCCTCGTGTACACTCGTTATCCCTTGTGGTACGCCGGTGCAGTCAGGTGCAATTCATTCCGTTCGCCTGGCTCGGCACCAGTACCTAGGGACTGCCTCGTGTAGATAGATAGACCTCCGCATCCCGTACGTACCGCTGAGACATTCTGCCTCATTCGTTACACGCTCTCTGTTTGCTGCTATCCGGGACTGTCGGATATTGGGATATATGAGCTATCATCGATGGCGCGCAGAGTTTGGAAATAGCAACCCATTTACTCTGGAACCTTAAGGCCTTAAGTTACGGGACGTCTGCATCGATGAGCGCGCCCCCATGGCGCTGGCGCTCCGAACCCAGGATCAAACGTAGGTATAGCGACTCCATTGGCATAATTTCAAGTATAATTGTATGTGTAATGATAGGAAGTCGGACCAGCCGACAATAAATACACCCACAGATAAAGCTAGTAGGCCCCCTGAAGTGCAGACGCATACGTCGCCCAGAACGGCGAGTCAAATCCCAGTGTGGGCTCCTCACACGGTGAACCATGATGGACCGAGTCCCCGTCAGGGTCACTCTGGTATTCACCGTCAATCTCGCCATCCAACGCAAAGCCCACCCCGCCATACGCCCGCGCTGGCTTCGGGTGCACCGTCTCTATGACACACGAGACGAGCACAGGTGAAGCAGGATGCGACCAAGGCGACGGCAGGGAGCCCTCGACCTCCGACGAGGAGGAGGAGGAGTCTGCATCGTCCTCGAGGAACGAGAGGTCGACAGCGACGCCGGCTGCGTGGGTCGACTGGGGCTCGATGGTGGTGACGAGCTCGGCCTCGTCGAGGCACGGCAGGCTCAGCCCCAGTCCAACCAGCGTCGCACCGGCACGCCCAGACTCTCTGCAGGACGACGCGACCTCGGAGACGCCGAGGCCGGGAACGTCTATGCCCAGTCCGACACCGGTGGCGGCGCCGCCCGTGGCACCACCGCCCGAGAACGGCGCGGCAGCCATCAAAGGCGCGAACGTGCCATCGACGTCGCTCACACAGCCGCGCACGCTCGGGGACGGTGTGCGCATCGGTGCGTACTCGCTCCCCGGCGATTCTGTCGGCGGCTTGCGAGGCGACCGGCGCGGGGCGAGCAGCGGCGGCGAGGGCATCACCGGTGACATCGACGCTGGCTCCTCCGACTGGGTGTCGTCATCGAGGAACCAGCTGTCGATGAAGATCCCCAGGCCAACACCAGCATGCACATGCACACTGGTGGTGAGCACGTCGGACGGCAGTCCGAGGCCCAGGCCGACGGTGGCTTTGGTGTGCGAGTACTGCACATTGGAATCTGCGAATGTGATGAGTATC